TAATCACATTAATTTCTACTATTTTAACTTCTATAATAAGTTTAAAGAGACTTTGACTCATCATAGTATTTTTATAAAAGTGAGCACATTAAAGAACAATGCATCATGTACGTTAACATGAAAGAGAAGTGGTGTACTAGGCACACTTAAATATCAGGTCTTTCACAGAACCAATCATAGACATGCATTTTCATAATGTTTTCATATAAATCATTTATGATTTTTCTCTTTCTTTAATGCCTCTTAAAGAATTATGCCTGATACTTTTACTTACAATGATATCTTATTAATCATATACATTTTGGGCTCAGTACTGTGTTAGCCTTAGTAATCTTTCACTACCTTAGTCTTTACTAGTGGTTTATCTCATTTCATAATTTATCCACTAAGTTTTAAAGACTAGCTTAAAAGCTCATACAATCTAATTCATGTATTTTTAAAAAAGCATAAATTAATAGACAACAAGTCTAAATAATCTGAACTCATAGGTAAAACCATAATATTAAAGTAGACTTGTTCATTCTCACCATGCTTGTAACTTTACTCTTCACTCTTTGCATCATAATATCTTAATTAGGATGATCTCAGAATCTACCAATCTTCAAATCAGAATAAATTCAATAATATTAGTCTTTGAAATTTATTAACAGTAATAAATTTCATAAAAAAATATTGATAGTAATAGAATCCTTATCTTTAGGATTTGACAACTATTTGATTTGGAGAATTTTTTCATGTCAGCATAACCGACTTTTTACTTCTCCAAAAATGCAACGGACCTGTTGTCTTTATAAATTTCTCAAAATAAATATTTAGTACGACAAACCATAATTATTTTCACCTTAGATTCTTGAGACTAAATAATATTACCCCATGTGAGAATAGATGGTTGCACGTCTCTACATACCAATTATTTCAAGAGCAAACATCTAAATATTACCAAAATCATCATTTAATTTTAGTAACTTCCTATAACCGTTAAAATAAATTTTATAAAATCAATGGTTGGTTTTGGTAAGACGTTAGTGAATACATGCCCCTAGGTTCTAAAAGTACTCTTATAAGAATGAAATTTTGATGGTGCTTCCTCTATGTAATCTCTTTTAACGAAAGTGGTGATGGTTTTGAGTTCCAAGTGTAGTCTCAAAAGTAGGATTGAGAGTTGTGTCTCTCATCTCGGTAATTTAACGATAAGTTTCTACCTAGGGTAGAGGATCGCAAGGTTCCAATATTTGTGAGAGTCGTTGAGACGACATTCTTTAGAGGTTTATTTTCATGCTTAGAGGGGTAGTGGATGTTTTTTGTACAACACAGACTACTCAACCAAACGCTCCGAGTGTGACAGCACTATTAAAGTCTTTGATAGAGAGACTAAGGAGGTATAAGACAATCGACTTCTTCGGTTTAGGTGATGATAACCCGATTTCGATTGATCAGTAGTGGAGAGAAACTAAGACTTTAAGGCAACTTCACCTTACCCCCAAGGGTAAGCTAGGATGTGCCACTGCTTTGCTCAATCTAATAGCATGAGACTATAAAAATGACTCTACAGCCCGAGATGCCTATGTGGGATCAGTCTCTAAGTCAGTCCAAGGAAAAGTATATCGAGGCATATATAAATGTCTTGAGGATGCAGTACTGCCAATGGTTAAGGAGATTGTACGAGTACGATTACAAGAGAGATTTCTTTTGGTTGACTTGATATGCTTCAGAGTTGGTTACAACTGAGTCCTTGAGTTGCAGGAGGTCTCTCGAGAGGCTTCGTATAGGTATTAGTGCGCAGTGGCGATAAACTCGCCCAAAGTATTCCCAGAGTTAACACGATATGTTAAGGTCGTGGAAAGGGTACAAACATCAGGATTAGTTTGATATATGGTATCAATACGCTGAGTAGAAGGATTTTGGTATCGGTAGATCTATCTCAGTTGAGTGGCCTATAGGGTTGTGGATTCTCGTGAGAAAAGGAGGGTAACACCAGTTCAGTCGTACCAATCAAGTCAAAGGTCTAAAGTAGGGTTATGTAGGAGATCGCTAGCATCGCCGTCTATGGAGACCACGAGGGGTTCTCACATAGCGTAAACATATCCAGAGTGTGAGCATTGTGATAAGAGGCATCAAGGGAGATGCTTTGGACTCTCTAGGATGTGTTTCTGATATGGGTCCTTTGAGCATCTTGTGAGAGACTGCCCTACCTCGGATAACGATGTTATAAATCGACCTCGGAGCCTAACGTGATGGAGGGTCTGCACATAAAGGTTTCAATGCTATGATCAAGAAAGAGAGCAGTGGAACAAATCGACTTGTTCCTAGCTTAGCTGCTTATATCCTAGCTTGTCAGATCATCATGAGGTATATAGAGGATGTCGATGTCGTAGTTAAGATATCAGTATGTTTTCAACAATTTCAGTTGATAATGTTGCACTAGTAGACGTGAATTCATTCATTCCTTCGTGGTGTCAAAGTGAACTAAGTAAGAAGAGTATTCACGTAGAATCCTGACGTGAGGGTCCAAGTGCCTTTTAGATTAATGTAGTCGTGTGAGAACCGTCAATTGTTTCTTGTAGAATTGAGGGTCAACTCTAATGAGACATTTGATAGTAGATCTGTCCACCCGAGAGTGTTCCATGAGAGAGTATTGAAGTGGCTCTTCAAGGATATGATTAAGATTATAGTAGCGTGTGTTCGCATCGAGGTTGCATGGTTCATATGACCAACTCGGTAGAGCTTGAGTAATCCTAAGTTTGGATTCTGAGGTGTATATCCCTAAGAAAAACGTTGAGGATGTTGAGTTGCTTTCTTGTTGATCGTTAGTCGCGTGTAATGGGTTACTCAAATTTTCTAAGAGTAGAGGTGATGGTCATGTGCGACCACGAGATGTACGTTCCTGTCACGATAGCGATCCAGGTCTCATCCAAAGTACCTATGTTAGTAGACTAGTGGCATATGAATCTTGCGATGTTGTGTGACCCGAGACTACATCATAACGTCTGTTTGTGTGTTTGGATAAGTGTTTGAACTTTACTACCCAAATTTTGTCTTTAATATCTTTGTCTTGCTATATGAGTGTGAGCTATATACAACACCTAATGATATGCTAGATTATGATGCTTGAGGCTAAAGGAGACTCATTTGGCTAGCGTTAGCTGACATTAAATAGCACGTTCGTGGTTAGTACAGGTGTAAACGAGCCGAGTCGAGCTCGAGTATTGCTTAGCTCTACTCGACTCGAAAACTCGCGAGCTTAAAATTTTCAAGCTCGACTCGAACTCAAAATCCTGAACTGAAGCTCGTGAGCAGCTCGAAAAAACTCGAAATGAAAAAAAGTTCTTAAACTTAACTTGATTGAAGCTTCAAACTCGAACATGTACCTTAAATACATGAAAATCTTAATGTATTTTTTAAAAAAATTAAGTACATAAATATTAATATTATTAATAATTTATTTTTTTAAAAATAAAATCTTAATATATTATATTTTCGAGCTGCTCACGAGCTTTTCGAGTTGAATATCAAATAGCTCATTTCGGCTCGTTAAGAACTTGAGTCGAGCTCGAGATTGAGTCGAGTCCATTCAATCCAAGTTTTATCAAACCTTGATCAAGTTGATCTCGAGTAGCTCACGATCTCTCTCATCTCATTTACAGCCCTAGTGGTTAGCGATCGAGGGTACAAGGAGAATCTTGGATCCAACAATGTTCCCTTTTGAAAAGGTAAGACAACTTTTTAAAACTTAAACATCTTTTATTAATATTAGTGTATTAATATTATTTAAAATCATAATATATTTATATTTTTATTATTTTCAAATAAAAAATTCGTAAATTTCGAATTAAATAACCAATGAAAATAATTTAAGCAATATTTAGAGAAAATATATAATAGAAACCTTTATCAACGATTAGAGAAAATTAAACGAATAAAAAGTTGATAAATATTTTTTTCTTCCAGTTTGTGTACTTAATAAAAAAATATAAAAAAATTGTGAATTAATTCATATTTCTCACATTTACATTCATTCAATGATTTATTTTTATACATAAAAATAAAGATGATAATCCTCTCAATTTCTTCTCGGAAAATCTTTTGCTTTGAAATAATGGCCAAAATCGTGCCAAATAGAGATGCACAGAAGCCGGATTTCAATCCGATCTGGATCGGATAAAAATCGATCCGGTTTTTTTCTCCAACCCAAAAACCGGATTTTAAAAAAATCGATTCGGATCCTAACCGGTTTGGAGGGCTGGATGGTGTAACCGATTTCGGTTTGCAAAAAACCGGTTTTTTTATAAAAAAACCAGAATATTTTTCGGATAAAAAACCGATTTTTTATCCGGTTTGAAAAAAACCGGTTTTTTATCCGGTAAAACAACCGGTCGTTCAATTTTTTTCTCAAACCGGTTATACTATCCGGTTTTTAAATATCCGATCCGGTTTAAAAAAAACCGGTTTTTCCAAAATCCAGTTTCGGATATTTTTTACACAAAATCATATATTCGGATTTTTTGTACACCTCTAGTGCCAAGAGAAAGGATAAACGAAACCTGTGTATTGCTTTTGCTTTCTCATCTTCACTGAAACCCAAAAGATTTCTGTTGATATACTAATCCACCTTCCTATATTTGTAGCCTACATAATATTTGGTAAAATAAGGGTCTAACCCCCTTCGTCCTTAACGAAAACATTAGGCCACATCCCCAATGTCTTCTTTTTTCTATTTTGTTGCTCTTGAGCTGAATGCCTTTGTACCCGACTTATATTTCCTCCTCGGGCTAGGCATAATTGTAATATAGACATTAATAATAATAATAATAATAATAATTAATTATAATACCCCATTTCAGTATTCTTTCTGATCCATGGGTATAGCCAACTGGTCGTGAAAATCTCAAAATGAAGATGTTTCTTACCTAAACCAGGAAGAGCATCATTCTTTGAACCACTCTCCAAACTTGAAAATAAATAATGAAAGCTTTCCCATCTTGGAGACATCACTCTATTTCTTATGTTTCTTCTTTTTTTCGTTTTTCTGCTTTGGTCTCCGTTCTTGCTTCTAAACGCTTCAACTGATGGGAACGTATCTCTACCAACTTCGACTTTGCATCTCGGAATAGAGCGTCCGATCTTGAAGCCATCAATTGCTGAAATCGAATAACATGCAACAGTTGGGGATAAAATTAAGTTTCTGCTATTGTATTAGAAATTGAATTGAAAATATTGGAAAAGCCAATTTACAAACCTTTAGATGATCCATTGCTGCAAGGTTGAAACCAAGAGTATCATGGCATTCCTGAAAAATTCGAAGTTATGTCATTGAAATAGATCCTTAAGTTTTCCCAAATCAAAAATTTATGGATTATGTGACCATTTTGAACTTAAATTCAACAGTAGAAATGAAAGAGAGATCATTAAGGCTACTAGTTGCAGAACTGAATGTTTTTGCTCCAAGTGAATGCGTGAGTTTTAAACAATCATAATCCGAAGTACAAATTTACCTTAACTCTTGCATAAATAAGCTCTTTCAGAACAGACAACACTGGTCTGGCAGATGGGGTACTAATTAACAGACTATGGTGTGTCTGCAACAAAATCGTAACAATCCTGCAAACCAGTTCAACCTGCACAAACAGCATAAATTGTAATAACACAAGTATTACAAGTCTAGCGCTCAGACGCACCTAACATCAAACGCGTCACAGAGAGAGCATTTACCAAAACATCCAACCATAAGCACATCCATAAGAGCATAGAGGCCAACCTTGTCATGATTTGAAGTCCAGTCCTTCGTATAAGAGAGCAGCTTGAGGGCATCTGAGAATGGTAATGCCTAGCCATAAAACAACTTCGACTCAGATATTGAGATAAATAATAAGATGCGGGAAAGATGAGAAGATCCTATCCGTACTGTACAGCATGGACAAGTTCAATTTAACCACTAGACAGAGATAGTTCAGCATCCATATATGAATTTAACTTGGCTATTAACATGGCTAAAATATGAAAAGAAACTCTCTTTAAAGTGACTAGAATTTCAGTTGATGAGGGTCTTTGGTCCCATTATTAGGCAAATATTAACTAAGCAGTAGAAGACCATGGACTACGATATGAAAAAAACAGTCGCAATCAGGGGGATCACAAAAAGATAAATGACAAAAACTGCTTATCCAGATGTTTCAATTATGAGCTTAATCCTCATAGGCCTGATTGCAGGTGTGTAACTGTCTCCATGCATGCACTTGAAAACATGGATGAAATAACATATCATCTTTTCCAGAATGTTGGACTAGAACTAGAGCAGATCCCATGCATAATGCTCAATTAACAGTAAAGTCTGCTCCAGATCATTGGTGCTAATATTTGAGAGAGCACGATGGACATAACCCGATGGGGATAACCCAAGCATAATCAGATTCGGTTGGAATTCAGCAACTTTTCCTCTGGCCTGCTCCTCCTGAAATATAACATAGTGAACAAATTAACTGCAACACAACCATTGAAAAATTTAGGCTCTTTCAGTTTTCTTCTAGCATTTTCTGCTGCTGTACAAATTTTCCAAATTATTCCAACAAGCATTTCTGAGCAAAATGAAAATCATCTCTGCAAGACAGATTTATCATCTTGGCAGTTGTATCTTTCTACAAGTAAAAAAAGTAACCGTTGTGCTGACACTCAATATAGTGGATAGGGAAAGTAACGAGCAACCACACCACCCCAAATATAGTTAACAGCTTTCTTTTCCTTTTCCCCTTCTTCCTTAGGGGAAGAAAAAATTATTTAAAAGTGTCAACCATTGATGATCAAAATACAACTTTGTCGTCAATGGAAAGGTTAAGGCCCTAGAAACCTTAATGTTTCAGGTACGAGTCCCAGCATGCGTAAATACCATGTGTGGGGTCTCAGTCCAGATCATATCCTAGTCTGGATATTTATGGTTATTCCAGTTTTTCCCCAAATTTAAACAAGCCAGTTAAAGACAATAACACGTCAGTATAGAAGAAACGGACCAAAGCAAGAGAAGAATACCTCATGTTCTACTATTCGTTTTAACTCCACTTCTGCCACTTCTAGTGCATCAATAATTGAATCAGTGGCTGTCAGGGTTTCCAGAGTTCTCTTGCCTGCTAATGCAACAGCTCCCTCTTCTGGAAGTTCTTCCTTCGGTACATGTCTGTCTTCAAATGTATCGTCCATGTAAGCCTCGAAGATTTCTTCCAATCTTTTCTCTTTTTCTTCCTGCACACTCAAGCAGGGTTAAATACAAAAAGAAGAAAATCCATCTCTAAAAGTAATCACAAATGTAGTGAGAAGAACTAGCTTAACAATGCATTCTCATTCCCGAGCCAAGAAATTCACTTCTGGTACACAGCAAAAATTCGAAAATACCTCGATAAAAAATGGCTCCTCAGTACGATCCCAACGGCGAATAGACCGGTCATGAGATCCTGTAACAACAAAGTCACCACGGTTGCTGACTGCAAGGCACCAAACAGCAGCATGATGTCCCTCAAGCGTTAAAAGCAACTCAAACTTATCAGCATCCCAGTACTTCAAAAGACGATCTTTCCCAGCACTGAACATGTAATGTGTGTTGTGGACAAATTGAACATCCATAACACTAAAAAATTACCTCATCAGAATTAGTGATCAAAAGGTTCACCAAAACTACATAAACAATTTAGGATCAAGAGAACTTTTGCATTCCATAATAATTAAAATCATACAAAACCTGTCAGCATGTGCAAAGAGGGATTTGTGGCAAATGCCAAAATCCAAGCCCCAAATCCTCAAATTCTTATCTGCAGACCCAGTTACAATTAAATCTCCATCTGATGAAATATCCATACATAGGACAGGAAGTTTGTGGCCGTATAAGGAAAGGAAAATTTCGAATGAATCCATAAAAAGGATCTGCATAAAAAGGGAACTGAAAATCATTATTATCATTATAGCCCCCATAGTAGTGCAAAACAAGTTGACTCGCACATCCTGATTGACAATACAATATCCTACATGCTATTATGAAGTCAAATTGGGGAGCTACTCAGTTGATTAAACTTTATTTTTTCCATCGGAAGCTTATACCAGAACATGTTTAGAGAGAAAGAATCTGAAAACAAACATTTTTGAAATCAACAGATTTAATTAGCACATATAAACCAATCTTTGCAAGACATGATTAGTGCGGTGGCATACAGATAGATGCAAGGTCACATCTAATTCTCACATTTAAATATGAGCTATAGAAGGTTTTATACAGAGGGCTGAAGCCATAGACAAAAACTGAGATGGTAGGAAAGGGCAACTATATAAATCAACTTCATGTTTTACAAGTTGAGCAGGAAACTGCATGATGCTTCCATTTACAAATTCTAGGAAAACAATAACAAAATAAATTCATCAAACCATAACAAAATAAATTCATCAAACCAACCAACAGTGGACAAAGTAAATTCAAAAGAGAGAAGAATAAGTCGATCATTCCTTTCCTTTACAGTGCAATCCAACAATGCAACAGCAACATATTTAGCATCTGGGTTAAAGGCAACCACTAAAACATCATCATTCATTTTCATAGTCCTCACATTTAATATAGTAAGGCTTTTGGAATCCTGAAAATCAACAAGACCAACCTAGCATCACTCATCTGTTAACTCAGCATGATGACTAGATTTGTAATAAAGGATGTGTTATACATTCCATTGTATCAAGGCAAAGCTAAACAAGATGAGAGTTAGGGAAAATATATGAATAAATGGAGTTAGATGCTGAAAAATGTTGAAGTAGGTGATGAAGGTATGAGGAACACACTTGACCAGGTTTTTGGTTGATGTATTCCCAGAACTTTACATCATGGTCTGCACTGCCAGTAACAAAGCCATTTCCATTTGGAATGGTAGCAATTGACCGTACAGAGCCACCATGAGCTCCAACAACTTCACTGCAAGTACCATTATCAATGTCAATAATTTCAATTTCCCCATCTTTAGTGCCAACAATTCCATATTTGTTATGGGGTACAATTAGACCACAGAGTCCATGGCCAGAATCAATTGTTTTAAGGCAAGAACCAGTACTTGGATTCCAAATCTTCACAGCATTGTGACCGGTTGACATCAAAACACTATTGTCTGAACTATGTGTGACACTTCTAACATCGGAGGTGTCCTTCAAGCTCAATAGAAAGTGTTCTCTCAAGCTCGATAGAAAGTGTTCTTTCAAGATTAATAGAAAGTGTTTTTTTCACTTCCATCACTTTTAATTGAATAAAACTCCAGCAAGTTATTATTCAAAGACAATGCTAAACTAGCTAGTGAACTCTCTGGAGTGACTGGACAAAAAGAGATGGAACATATCTTTTTGCTGACTAGAATAGTTGGAAGAAGCTTAAAAACATCAGGAACTTTAACAACCAATGTATTCCCAGCTCCTTCAGTATCATGATTTGCTTCCACATTTTCAGTTTCTTCAACTTCCATTTTTGCAGACTTCTTCTCTTTCTTCCTGTTTTTAAGTCTTTGTTTTGCTTCGCACTTGGATTGAACTTCGTCAAGTACAAGGAATAGTTCAACAGTTTTTCCTGCCACCTGACAAGCAAGCAGATTTCCCGACTTGCTAAACCTCACAGTCGCAACCCTATCCTTACTTTGTCGAGTAATTTCACCAAAGGGCTTCAGAACTTCCCACTTATTTTGAGTAGATAACTCACGGTCATTCCCAGTTTTAGCCGCAGTTACATTCACCATAGACTCTCTGTAACACCCCCAACCCGTACCCGATCCGGTTACGAGTCCGAGATATCACATTGACTTTTCAAACTTTGACTCTTGACCAAAATTCAAAGAAAATTTAAAACTTTCATTAAAATAATAACGGTTTATTGACATAAATTGACCCCAATAACCAAAATCGATCAGAGCATCTTTAACTCAATCAATTAGTACATGTCAACTATATTCAAATTAACCAAACCCATTTAAATCATCTATTTTCTGATCTGAACTTTGTAAAGGAGATACTGACCTGTCTTGCTCCACATTGCTCTCCATATTCTTCTCGAACATACGTGTGAAACAATCACACGCTAAGTCGATGACTTAGTGAGGTAAATAAAACATATAATAAAAATCATAAAACATTCCATATAACAAAACACATGAACATTTAATACTAACTTATCATACAAAATCATAAAACAATTTCATACAAAGTCACATACCTTTTTATATAACAAATACACTCATGTACATATATCATCATCTACTTTCTTAGCATTATCATATATATTATTATCATTATCTCTATCATTATCATCAAATTATTTATCACATGATCTTGTACTCATCATTTCGGTATATCATATTACACATATATCATTTCACCAAGAAACACCCATAAATCATAATTCCTGTAACACATTTCCTATCCCCAAATATACATTATATTTATTGTATTTATGTTATCTCTTTGATTAGCCCATGGTACACTTGTGAGAACTATAGATATGTGAGTCTATAGAAGTTGTGCACTAATGCTGTCACCACAGCTCGTATAAATGCACCGAAGTGCCACGTAGAAATGCACCGTAGTGCCACGTAGGATTGCACCGAAGTGCCGCGTAAAAATGCACCGTAGTGCCATATAATGTCCATAAGGACCACATATCATTCCTTAAGAATCATATACATATACATATACTAGGGATCAAGTATGCCTCTCACAAGACTTCACACATGTTCCAAAGAATATATATATATCCCGAAGGACCGCGTAGACCCTCGACTCTTGGCATGCCAACTATACCCCTAGCTCTCATGACACATAACATGGGCATTATAATTTATTTCATTTCAAATATTCACATAAACATGTAATTCACTTTCACATATCACGTATCACATAGCTTTTCACCTTTACTCGTATTCTTTTTCACATAACTCATAGTCATATGTCTTATCTCATAACATATACATGTTTTCGTCTATATAATTCATATCATTTCTTATACCATCACATAATTCATTTAACATACATACATAGCATGTAACATTATCATAGAAATACCTATAAGTCATATCTCTTAGATTTCATATACATCTAGTCACATAGATCACTTTTGCATAGCTTATATCCACATATATTATCTACATGTATACACAGGAATCAAATGGCATATACCAAATCATATAATTATATACATAGTTTATGCAATCACGTTACTTATACTTACATGGATCCATATCATAGAGCTTAGTTCCCTTGTACATGTTATCACACCGGCATATAATCTTATATCAATCCTATAGGTAAAAACTATTTATCTTTATCTCATTTTCCCTTTGTATCAGCTTACATGATTTGTTATACTAACATGTACGATAACATATAACCCTTATCACTTATCTCACGTTATTTAATTACTAGTTATTCTATCCATTTAACTTAGTTCTATAGAGCTCCTATAACCTTCTCATAAGGTTTTATAGTTCTTCATTTTATAACTTCTATATCATAGTTTTCTTTGAAGCATATCACTTTTTCCTATAGTGTTTATCCTATAGGTTCGTATCAACGTTATGTTCACGTCTCCTAATTTATATATATATTCTCTTAAATATTCTCATATTACTCTATAGTCTGGTCTTATTTAACTCATCACCCCTCTCATATAGTCATAAATATATTACACGAATTCTCCTAATTGATCACCTATACCCTGTACATGTATGGTCATCTATCATATAACTTATTTCACTTCCCATGCAATCATATATATCATTCATATTAGTTCCTATAACTGATCACACTACATGTATTCACACAAATCATTTAACACCTACTGTAATTCATATCATATATACTCAAATTAAACATATACATATGATCATAAATTCATACATTTCTAATATAGGAAATAGACTCGTCGCAAGTCTTATTTCCATTAAACATCATAAACTAACTTGTATACACTTACATGGGCCTCGTTAGTTTTGAATCCATCCTAATCCTTAGTTTGTTCCGAAACAAGCTTTCATTCTATATCTACATAATAATACATTGATACTTATCAGTATACTAATTGATATATTCGAAATTATCACTCCTTAGGTTAAGAGAAAAGCCAATTTCATCTTTTAAAGAAGGTATGCATCGATGCACCACACCCTGCATCGATGCATAAATCCTATTCGATGTTTACATTTAAGAGGATGCATCGATGCACTACTTATGCATCGATGCACTGATGGCATTCGATGTTCGTATTTTAGAAGAGTGCATCGATGCACTTCAGGTGCATCGATACACCTTGAACAATTTCTGGGATTTATCCTTAATGCATCGATGCACATTGAATGTGCATCGATGCACATAGCCCAGAATTGACATTTTAGCACGAAAATCATCAACTCTTCCCTTAATTATTCTATTTTAAGCCCCTATTACGACATTAAACTCAACTACCATTACTTGAACCAACTTATATCCATGTAAATCATCTTTAACCTCAAAATCCTATCTTCCTTATGAGATTCAAGAATCATACTCAATTTCTAACATGTTCAAAATTCCATTTTATTACTTCATATCTCTTAATTAGATTGAGGACAAGTCAAATTTAACTTCCAATTCAAGTTATGAACTCTATTCCAAGATTTCTTCTAAGAACCCCAAATCTTTAATCCCTCCTAACTCCATCATACTTTGATTTTAAGATAACTTAAGCTTTCCTTAAGCTTAGTTATCATCTAATAATCATAAACCAACTTTTATTTTAACAAATAATCAACTAATAACAAAACTCACCTTTGCCATGGTGACTCACGGCTGAAGAAGAAGAAGAGAACTCTGGAAGTTTATTTTGCCTTCTTTTCTCTTCCACGTGGCTTCCTTATCTAATAAAGGAAACATAAAAATCTTTCATGTCAAATGACTATTTTACCCTTTACTTCATCTAATAATTACTAACAACTTTTATGATTTATTTCCAAATAAATCATTGAACTAATCCACTGTTCTACTCTAGTCACTAAATTCTAAAACTTTACAATTTGATTACTAACTCGGTATTGAGGATGTTACAAATCTCCCCTCCTTTAAAGAAAATTTGTCCTCGAATTTTCACTGAACATCTTGATAAGAACATATGTTCTAATGTTCTCATGTTGTTTCCTTTACTTAATCTTTCTTGTCACCATCAGAAAACTTACTTTTCATTCCTTTAGTTCTTCGTCTACCTTTTTCCCTTATACATCCATATCATATCACTTATCAGGTATACAATAACATCAGTTCTTATCACTTAAAATCATAAATCAATCAATTTACTCATCAATCTCTAATTGCCTTGCAATCATACTCCAACTTTCATTCTATCATCACTTTACTGCCTCTTAACTTCTTTAATCATATGAATCATTCTTTGTTTCTCTGACTACTTATACTTGACCAAGAAACATAACTTTAAATCTTCATCATGGATGATTAAAACATACATTTTGCAGAATCAAGCAATCTTTCACATCATCTGAAAAACCTTTCTTACTTCTAATCAACTTATAATTTATACTTCAACATAACCTTTATCATATCTGATCCCTTAAACTCAATCATTTTATTTCCTTATTCGATTACTTTTCCCCAATTTAAAATATTCTTATAGCATAGGTTATATCTTTTCTTCAGACTCTCATACTCTTTTAGCTTCCTTTGGATACACAAATCCGTATCTTCTTAACTATACCACATTTACGTTATCAGAATATACTACCATATTTAAATCCACATCAGACTTGATTGACTTAACCTTACATCTTTTCCAAATCTTACAACTTTATCACTTTTACTATTACTACTCGTCAATAGCAACTGTTCAATCTAGAGCACAAGCCCTAATCAATCAATCAATCATATACATCATTTCTATTCGAAATTATCTCAACAAATAATTTAATTAACTTATAAATCCACCTTTATTCTCATACACCATGTAATTTCCATTATTCATACTTAACCTTCTAACTTCCTTGTCTTATAAACTGATTAATGATGTATTCATTCTTAAATTCTTCTTATCAATCCTTAGCTTTACTCAAACATACAAATCCTCACTTCCTTCA